TGAGGGTTCAGTGGAACACAGGTTGGGAACAACACTAACATTGTATTACACTAACATTGGGATAATTAAACTACTACCGAAGATGTTGCTGATGGCCTACATAAACTGGAATAAGTTTCACCCATTCAATAATTCGAAATAAAATAAGAAATCCGAAATTCCCACATACACTGAGCGAAAAAAGATGTTGATTAATAAATAAATAAATAAAAATCTGAAAATTTAAGATTTTAATGGTTGCCTAAATGTATTTTTTAAGGTTTTATAAGCTCCCGATGAGCTCGAAGTCTACCAGTTTGCTGTTGCACTTTCTCCTGCTAACCCATTTTTTTTCGTTTTATTATTAAAGTTTTGTGTGCTAACTTTATTTATTAAATATACATTCTTCGCACTTACCCTACCAAAAATTCAATTCAACAGCAAGATCTTAAAATAGTGTTTAAAAACAAGTAAGTAAACAAGTAAGAAATTAATAGTCTTAAGAACTGCATCTATTGCTTTCAAATAGCTCAGTTTGTTAATCCACAATAGACGGATTCAATTTGAATAGACGAATTCAATTCAAAAATTTATTGCATTTTGCCGAATGGCAACAGGCTAAAATAAAAAATGAAACGACGCATTTATATTGATTCGATACGAAATCTCATTTTGAGTTTGAGAATATTAGATCCTTTAGGGCTAAAACTAAAAGTAAAAAATTATTCAAAAATTATTTTACCAACGAATTGTTGTAACCTGTTAAAGCATTCGGTTTTGCTACTCTTTATTGTTACATAAAGGCGTGTATAGGTACTTTAGAGTGAAAAGATTGTTCCAAAAAGACCTACAAATATATAATATACAAAATATTGAGAAACGCTTCATTTTCAAGAGCATCCCAGAAGCTATGAATTAGCCTTTTTCCAAGCATCATCAAGTCTCTATTTCAGATAATCTAGTATCTTATCGAGTTAAATAATGAAAACTAAAAACGTAATCCACAGCATAATATTAATTAATAGTTAAATGCGTAGATGTTTGTTAATGTATAGTACTTATTAAATTGATTAAATGTACAGTATGAATTAACTAATAGTTTATGTGCCGTTATTGAATTTATGATAAATATTTGTGGCTGTTATAAGAGAGTTCAGACAATAGGAATCATTGATAATTTCCACAAATTTGCAGTACTAGATTTCGCAGGTTTGACTACAGAAGCTTTATTTTCAGTTGCAGGAGCGGAAATCATGGAAAGTCGGTGCTCACGTAATACCAAAGAAAACAATAGATTAGAAATTAGAGATTCCACCAACAATAAAAAATACAGCTACTGGGACCACCTAATGATGAAAATGAAAGCAATTATGAAATAATCTCTTAAAGCTGAACACACTTTCGTATAAGATTTTAGATCATTAACCAGAACTGAAAGGTTTTTATGAATGTGAAACCACGCTTAAAAATGTAGTTCGTCAACAGAAGGTGTTTTTGGAACAGTTCTAACTGCAGAAGAATGGAAATTATGATTTTTTGCCCAACAGTGTGTTGGGCAACAAATGATTTCTTTCCTTTTCCATACATATGCTTCATGTTCCTTAGTTGAAAATTTTATGGCTCTCTTAATTTGGTCAATGTGTATTAATACAATGGTCAATACTGACAAGGAATATTGTACATGTCCTATTAATTTTTATTCGGAATGAGGTCTTTTACTGTGGAACTATGAATTTTATTGACAAAAGAAGAAAAACGATACGAAATTAAACTTCTGCAAAATGGTTGCAATTTGACAGCTCAAAGATGGAAAGAAAATGACTACCAACTTCTTACGATCTCCTGAAATGAAAAAGTTAATTCATTCTTTTCATTGTGTTGAGATGAAAACTTTTAACTGCTTGGTCAATAATATTATAATAATCGGATGATAGAATTTGTAAAATGTGGTGGAACACAAACAGATGAAGGTTTATAGTATACTGCAGTACTGTATTAGATGCATTTCAATGTGACCCAGATGTCAAGAAATGGAAGGGATTTGGATGTCACAACTTCCAAAGTGAACTGAATAGCATGTCAAGGAAGTTAAGTTTTGAGAATAATTTTATTTAAATCTTCTTTATTACCGTATCGTCAACGCAGCGAAACCACGCAGAGAAGTTTATTATTTCAATTATTTTGTATTTATAAAATAATTTTTACTCATAATTATGTATATATCAGCAAGAATAGGACCATGGTTAACCCCCTTCCCACCAATCTGGGGGTAATACTTATTCTGAAAAATAAAGTTTGTTTTGAACAATGTAGAGTTCAAATTATTTGACAAGTTTCTGCCTGACTTACTCAACAAGAAAAATAATAGTAGCGCCATCTCACGACATTATTGATATTTAATTGGTTTTTTATACTATGCGCAGAAAAAAGTTTATTATTGTTATCTATAAACGTTTTACAACAGTTATTTAATCATAAATACTTTACGATACTCAAAAATCAACCTGGGTGTAATTTTTGGTGCAAAAAATAGCGCAGTTTGCCTTTTATGTTTATGTATAAGCAGAGGTAAATTTCGGAGGCTTTGCAAGGACTCATGTGCATCAGTTGTTAAATTTCTTTCTAATTCGTAAATTTTTTGTTTGGAATGCTTTTTATTTGTCTCTAGAAAGTAATACCGCTGAATGCATACATGTTTATATAATTAATACTTTAAATCTGCATGTTTTTTTTTCCTGAAAACTATTAAAAAATCATTTAATTGCATTTTGTTCTGATAGAGCTAGTGTAATGTTTGGAAAAAATCAGGACTTGGCAATCAAACATTTCTAAATTTTTCTGACGTTGTAATCTTGTGATGTAGGAAATAGTTTAAAATATTTTTTGATAAATTATATCCTCTTCGTCAATAGGCCCCTCAAAATCGACTAGAATGAAATGAGGTTGGTAAAAATATAGATATTGAAATATTAAAATTTGGCTCTGTGTTTGAACCACAATAGGCTGTTCCTATGTGACTGAAGACTAAAGCTTTATTCAGGAATTTTGAATCGAACAGTAAATAAATGTATTTTTAAACTAAATCCTAAATTTGGATTTTCTAGAAAATCGGCAATGAGGAACAATAGACTATGAGAATTATCATATTTGATAATCCATGGTTGTTTTTTTTTACACTTTTGTAATTTTAAAAACTACTATTTGTTTATGCACAAATGTTTTTATTTTTCGTTTTTGTAAAAAGTAGAACATTTCATTAGATTCTGATATTTTATTTTTATAAAACATAATGTGAAAAGTTATTTAATAGAGCCTGGCTTCATAATTCTCAGAGACTGTGTTTGCTCCATACATATATATATATATTAAAGGGAACAAAACTATGCATATAATTTAGTAACAACACATATTAAATGAAAAAGCAGCGTTTTGTCATATTAATATAACTAGAAATAAATTCAGATCTAATTCCTAGAACCATCCAGAACCGAAGAACGTTTTTTGAGAATAACGCAAAGCTAAAAATATAATCTAGAAAAACTAGATTACAAATAAAAATGTACTAAATTAAATTCTTTTAAAATTTTATATTATTCGGTATATTTTTAATATACATACATGAATGTATACATAATATGAAAGCTCTTAAACAAATTAAATTATATATTCGATATATATTGTAATCGGAATTTAATAGTTGCCCTTAAAAATAAACCGTGTGCCTGAAATTTAATTGTCTGTTTTCGAAAGAGAAAACTAGTTATCCTAAGATATATATATATATAATACAGATTTTTAGTATAGTAACTAATATACTCAACTTGAAGTAAAGAGACTTTTGATTCATGTCAGATATGCAAGAAAAATAAATCCTTCCAATAATTTAATGATGAGGAATTAATTGTGAAATACTAGTTAAAATTTCATAAATTTGTATGCTATATTTTAAAGTTAAATTATAAATAAATTGGTTTCTTTTCAGTCGTGTTCCTTATTGCTTATTAGTTATCGACCTTTGCTCGCTATGTTAGTTATCTATGTTTAAGCTATAAAGTTGCTGAACATTGGTAGTTTGAGTTCAAATCCCGGCGAAGGACCTAGCTGCGTGGGATTTTTCGTTATTTTTTCCGTGTATAACGTGGATGCGATACACTTTTCTTAGAAAGTCCTCTCACATATTTAACCCTTATGTTAGGAAGGAAGCCCTCGAATTGCTTTGTCCTACCCAGTTAACCTAACCTAATCTATATTTACACACAAGTTGAGGGTCGTCATTTTTTACTAATTATTTTTATTCTTTCGCGAGCTGCAACCTTGCCCGAGTTGATTACAAATATTTAATGTGTAATACATTCAGTTTGCTGTAGTATGCATTCAGATAGCAATCCGCATACTGAATGTGTCATAAAATGTCTACTAATCATGTAAATTATGACATGAGTTCTAGGTATTTCTGTAATTCTATTTTAAGAATTTTAGTATTCTGGCTACATTTTTCAAAAATTAACCCTAATGCGAATGGGTAATGCGAATTAACCCTCATGCGATTGTTTTATTTATTATGATTCTTCTGTATTATTTCTGAAGTTCGTATATTAAATTATGACAAAAAATAATATGTACTCCTTGCATTTAAGCTACCCATTTATTTTCTCATATTTTATTCAGAGAATCAGTTACTTAAGGGCTAAACCAGCGTTCTGAAATTTTTAAAGGTGGTAAAATGTCGAAATATCGTCCCTTTATATATATTTATATATATAAATATTATATATATATTTATACATATATATATATTATTATATTAGTATATATATATATATATTATTTTCTGTTTACCTGTAAAGATTCAGTATTTCATTTTTGTGGAGCAGAATCATAGTTATTCTTAGAATCACTGAAACATGCGGATAAAAGAATTTTCCTTATCAAGTTTGTTGTATCGTGTTTATTTCCTTATTTACATGCACAACATCTATTAAATTATGTTAAATGCAATTACGTTTTCCCTTTTTCTACAGGACCTGTAGCCAGTGGATTGACTAATAAATATGGCTGCCGTGCAGTCACAATAGCTGGAGCGATATTGGCAGCTGCAGGCCTAATGCTAAGCACATTAGCTCCAAATGTGCTTTTCCTTTTCTTTTCTATTGGACTCTGTACAGGTATTTTAAAACTTATTTTTTTATAAATGTTTTTATTTTTTAATTCCTTGCACTGAATTTCAATAGAACGTGTGTTTTTAAATAATATCTGTATTGTGTGTATGATTATTCTAAGTTAAGTTTGTTTGTAATATATAAAATGGTGGAAGACCAATATTTGTGATATGATTAAATTTTTTAGCTTTCATTGCATGCGAAAGAGATATACATTTAAAAAGACAAATAAATACACTTCCGTCTTTAGAAGAAAACTCAGAGTAAGAAACTGAAATAGCACTTGAATAATAATACCCCGATGCCTTTTGTCAAAAAAAATGTCAAAAAATGTCAAGAAAAGTCCAAATAGCAAACAGTGAAAGTTAAATATTGAAATAAATATTTCCTTTCTTTTTCCAATGATTACTGGAACTTTAATATATGGATGTAATAATATTTATTTATTGAAATAATTATGGTGTAGTCAATTTTTAAGAATTACTGCATTTATTTTGTAAAATTTTATTTCCAGGTGCAGGATTTGGTCTCATGTATCTTCCTTCCATTGTGAGCGTCACCTGCTATTTCGAAAAACAACGTGCCTTTGCGACGGGTGTGGCCGTCTGCGGATCGGGTATGGGGACTTTTGCTTTGGCTCCCCTGACGGAATATTTGGTAGAGACTTACGGATGGAAAGGGGCGATGCTTATCATTGCCGGTCTGGTACTAAATTGCACCGTATTTGGTGCACTTTTTCGCCCATTAGAAGCCGTCTCTTGTACTCGAAAGAAACCAGCGCCCAGAGTCAAAAAGCCGGATTTACCAAAGCTGAAAATTTACAATGGGCATACTGCTAATGGGAGACTATCTCTCACTGATGATGGTACATGCCCTTCCACTCCTTTGATGTTCAAAGCCAACGGCACCGCGATCATCGAAGAGTCTCCCATTAAGCGCCCTTCTGACGCAGTGTCATATGATTCGAGGCTTACTAATGGTTTTGTGTGCCATAACAAAGTCGAAGATGGTGTTTCAAAGAACTTGCAGGTATACAGTGGTTCCCGTACCAACCCTCCGACACCTTCCGAAGGGAAAATAAATGGTTTTAAAGATGTTATTCTTCGATCTAATGGCATTTCTGTTGACAGAAAAGAGGATTCCGTACGAAACAGTCTGATGCTTCCTTCCGAGTTTTTCCGCAGGAAAGTGGAAGGTAGTCCATTATCGAGCTTTGTCTGTTCTTCCGCATCGTTGGCACAAACTAACAAAGAACTTTCTCAGCTGGAGACATCCTGTTCTCAGTCGCACACTGGAGGCCTAATGTACCGAAAAGATATCTTTTACAGTGGCAGTCTCATGAGCCTAGCCAAATATCGATCCAATCCCAATATTTCGTATTCCTCTGTACCAGCAGGAGATGCATTAGATGCATCCTCTACAAAGCGTAGTTTCCGATGCTGTCCAAAGGAAATCCGTGACGCTCTTATAGAAATGACTGACTTTTCACTTCTCAGAGATCCTATTTTTCTGATGTTTGCAGTTTCGAATTTCTTAACCAGTATCGGATTCAATGTACCCTATGTTTATACAAAGGACAGAGTAGCAGACATGCATATAGCCACGAATGAGGATGCTAGTTTTCTTTTGGCAATTATCGGCATCTCAAATACAGTAGGAAGAGTTACATTAGGATATTTATCGGACAGAGCTTGCGTCAACAGACTATGGATTTACAATACAAGTTTAATTATATGTGGTCTAGCAACAGCTTTAAGCTGTTACGCATTAAATTACACGTTAATGGCAACGTACTGTGCGACATTTGGAGCTACAGCTGGTAAGAGTGTTAATATTATTAGCTTAAATTCTTATGTATTTAATATGTTTAAAAACACATTTTCGTTTTTTGAATGTTATAACACGTTAAATAATGTTTCTTAATATTTCTTATTTCTTGAACAATAACTGCATTTCCATAAGAGAAGATTTATTAATAATATCTCGTAAATTAAACTACTATTTACCATCAATATTACTGAAATCCTTAATGTGATGCTATTGAAATATGCTTTACCTTCGGAAATGTCAATTCTTATTAATAGTTAAATGCTACCACAAATTTCTTTTGCAATGGTTGCAATAAAATCGCTGATGAGCATTTTTATTTTTACAGTTTGCAATTTTTGTTGCGTATAATTTAATAAATTTAGATTACTTCAACGTATTAAATTAATGGAAATAAAAAAATATAATGTCCAAACATTCTTTAAATAATGTTACAAAATTAGATGTATATTTTTTAAAATTATACTTGGATATCATTATGCTTGTGTTTACTTAAGATAATATGAGTAATACACTCAAACGAAAATTACAACATATTTAATTAATCATTTCCTTATATAGAGAAGGGGATCATAATTAAATTGATCAAGGCCTTATGAAGCGATAAGCGAATCAAAAAGAATGCCTACTTTTTTTTGAGGCAGCAATTTTAGTCATGCAGAAGCGATAACTGAAATAAGGTTTTAAATTCATTAAGAAACGCTCTAAATGAAACATATCAGATTTATTCCTTATGCAACGGGAAAGGCACTGAGTAAGTTTAAAGAAATTTGCACGTAATATATTCCAGAATTTTGGTTTATTAATTTAAATTTGTTCATTAGTGCTTTTTTTAAAAACTACTATATTGTTGCTTCGCTCCATTACATTAGATACATCATCTCATTCTTAATTAGAAAACTCTTCCTTTAACCTAGTTTAATAGCATACTAAGCCCTGTTTTACTTCAAAAATTTAAAACGCAGTCATTAGTTTTCCATCTTGTTGAGAAATTATGTAAACTAATTAAAGCATTTATGCTATGTAACATCCATAAGCTTTTGGACCGAACTCTTGAGAAACATATGAAAGTTTTCGGTAGTATCGTAGATGCCAAACTTTCATCCAAACCCATTTAAAGTGACAGCATTAAGGGCCAATAGCACAGTCCGGTAATATGGTAGTGTACTGTAGTGAAAACGTTACGAACCCTGTATTCGTTTTTGAAATTTCAAATTGAAATTTCCCTGTTTTAAAGTTTGCCCTTGCAAATAAACATGTTATGTGCTAGCTGTTGATGGAGCTCGGCGACGTCTCTGTTTACCATAGGCTGGAAGTTTTTATCACCGCGGAGGGGAGGGGGCAGGAACATGTGTATGCAGTAGGTGAGCGATGTTCGGCTTCTTTTATTATATTAGGGCACTATATATACTAATTATTTGTGAAAATTGTAACACCATGAAGGAATTATGCAAATTGAACCAAACTTACAGGAAATGTAAAGTGAGGTAAGATATACAAATGATTAGAATAGCAAAAAGATTGCGCATGCATGGAATGAGAACTAGCCGCTTGTTCCATGTATATAAAGGACCGTAAAGTTGCGTGGAATCTGTTTATCTTCCTCTGTCTGCGGTGAACATTTAATTAGTGGTCAGTATGCCTCGTAAACAGCGCGGGATGTCATAAAAACAACTAACCTAGTTCGAACGAGGCCGCATCGTCGCTTAGCGAGAGGGTGGACTTGCGTATCGAGCAATCGCAGCCCGCATGCGGCGTAGTGCCACGACAGTGATGAGAGGAGAATTAAACATGGAGAAATACTGGCAGTGGGGCACCGCAGCAGTACAATGGCATGAGACGACAGACATTTCATCCGCATGGTTGTGGCAGATCGTACAACGTGTTAATACAGCGTCGGAGCACGGCTATAGGTGTTTTGTTTAACTCCACGGTTCGTCGCCGTCTGCTGGAGCATGAACTACGTGCAAGGATTCTTCTACATAGAAATTCCCTGTCGCTGAATCACGGATGCGTCCGACTTTAGTAGACGTGCCCTGTGGCGACAAGTTATTTTCTCCGATGAATCTAGCTACAATATGGAGTACACTGATAGAAGAGTAGCGTTAGACGTTACAGAGAGGAACGTCTGTTCCCACAGTGTGTTATCCAGCGTCATACCGCACAAACGTCTGACATCGTGGTTTGGGGAGTTATAGGGTATAATTGTCGATCCCATCTAGTGCAGACTGCGGGCAACCTCGACAGTGATCACTATATAAAGAAATTTGTGGAAACAGAGGTACTCCCCATTCTTCGACACATTCCAGGCGCTGCATTTCAGCAGGATAATGCCCGTGCACATGTTTCTCAGGCTACACAAGTCTTCTTTAGGGCACAACAGATTTCACTTCTTCCATGGCCTGCGTATTTCCAGCATATGTCGCCTATTGAGCAAGTCTGGGATTTTATCGTTCGAAGACTCACTCGTACAGCTGGTGATAAAACTGAACTTCGGCGTCAGGTCGAAGTCATATGAAATGTCATTCCCCAGATTTACGTTCAGAACCTGTGTGATGTGTACAGGCTGTCATCGTTCATCATAACGGACACACAAAGTACTGATTTCCGATGTTAGTTTCGTTTTTCTGTCTTGTAAATTATAAATTTCATTCATTTTCCATAATTCCTTCATGGTGTAGCATTTCTTGCAAACATTAGTGTATATGCGGTTGTTTTCCATCATTCATCTGCCAAGCAGGTAACACTGTAGATTATATATTTGCATTAATTGGTTTTAAAATTATTTACATAATATTATATAGTAGAATTCAGTAACATATAACAAGACATAGTAAGATAAATAGGTAATGGAATATAATAGAGTTAATACAATAGAATACGATAAGTTACGTATATTAAGTATGTACAGCTGTTTTTTCTTTATGTGCAATATATGTGCATCAGATAAGCGAGGCCGGAATAAGAATTCAAATACTTAGGACAATTCATTCATTTTGGCTTTTTGTTGTTGAAAAAACGGGGTAGTAGAATATCTTAAATATCAGAGTTTTTGTTGTAGACATTATTAAAACAATGTTGATTAACGAACATTATTAAAAGAATGTATCATACACTTTGCCACAAGCTGTTATACCGCTTGTAATATAATAAAAATCAGTAAGTTAAATAGGATAATAACAATCTGTGCTTATTTTTACTTTTTTTATACTATCCACATTCTCTAACTTCAGTTTTCACCTACTGAAAAATCTAAGCTACTGTTGAATTTCTGCTGAATTTAAAATAAGTGTTTACAGCGTTATTTTTTAAGGTTGCTGGTTGTTGAATTGGAAAATCATAAAATAGCTACAAGAATTTCCAGTCCTAAAATGTTTTTGATGTACGCATAAAGTGGAGAATTTCATGGCTAATTCCTTTCAACAGGGGGGGGTGTGTGGCAAAATTTATACATGCAATTATAATACTTTCTATCTAGTTTCTGTCATAAATCTATAAATAAATTACATACAGTGATCGGAATCTATTTTCGTAAGCTAAGGTATAAATTCTCAAACCAAATTGTAAGCTTCTTCTAATTCAAATTCATTTTACAGCTGAATTTGAAATATAATCGATATTAAAATCTACAAAAGGAAACATATATTATCTCATTAATATTTCTGTTCTTAAAATGTTACCAGAAAAGCCTCAGAACATGATCTAAACTACTCTGTTTCTTTTCTTTGCAGGAGCATATGTAAGCTTAACTTCCGTTATACTCGTAGATCTGTTAGGTTTAGATAAACTAACGAATGCTTTTGGCATACTTCTGGTCTTTGAGGGAGTTTCTTGTCTTCTGGGTCCGCCTATAACAGGTAAATGAAGAAATTATATATTTTTCTTTAGTGTAATACGTTTCATTTTATTCAGAGATCAGTGCTCTTCTAAAGAGGATCAAATGGTCAATTTCATCAATTTTATTGCAATGCAATTATTGCTTAATATTCAGTTGTTCAAAATGGGCTTTAATTAAAATAAGGAGATAAACTTAGTGTGCTGCTTAACTGAGCTTCAGAAGAGTTTTCAATTGCCAAGTGCTGTTGCAAAAATTTATCCATAAATAGTTCAGGAATTGTTTTGAAGTCGTTATAAAGTAAATTAAAGGTCAATTATGATGTCTGTCTAAACCAGAGGCTTCCAGCCGGTATTCACCCCCAGGGGGGTCGATGAAATTTAAAAGGGGTCATGATAATCAAGGGGCCGACAGCCGAATATGCTCGGGGATAGACTGGCATAATAAAAACTCCAGTGATCACAAAAAATTAGCACTATTTTAAAACTGATAATTAATTTTTTATTGATATAAAGTTATATCATGTAGTAAGAAAAAAATCATATAAAATATAAGAAAAAATATGTAAAAATTATTTAATATATTTTAAAAATGAATAATACTTTTTTTTTGAATATTTAAATATTTTTGCAAAAAGTGCAATATAAGAAAGTAAAACGCAGAAACACAAGAAAACAATACCAAAAAATATAAAATATGCCCAACTTCCTCAGAAGATATATTATTATAGCGAAGCATTTTGCAAAATTTAAAAGAAGCTTTTAATGTTCGATTCCAAGACAGTGAAAATTCGAATGTTACGGTATAGCTAGAAGAACCACTTAACTGCAATACATTTGATCTTGATAGATAATGCGATTAAATGCAAGAAGAGTTTATGCATTGAAGGAGGATGTCGAAGCTCAACTCCTATTCAAAACAAATGTGCACATTGAATTTTGGCATTTAAAAGGTCATTCGAGAGAAAAATCTAAAAATAAAAATTGTTAGTGCTGTATTACTGACGTTTCCCTTTTCTTACCTAGTGAAAGCAGGCTTTAGTCAAACTGATAATTTACAACGGAAAAAAATTAAACAATTGGAATAATTTGAACAAAGTAATTTAAAGATCAAGTTAAGAAATTTTGTGCATAATATTAAAAAAAATTGCTTGGATATATAAAGTGAAATTAAATTTTTATGCAATTCTGTCTGTGATTTTGGTTTGAAAATTTGTTTATATTGCAAAATCAATAATAATAAAAATAATACAATCATGATAACACATAAACCATTTTTTTCCAAACTTTTGTTCATATTCTTTCTAATCATTATCTTTAAGTAATTTAGGAGAAATTATTTGCATTATGATTATGCTGCATACTGTATATTATAAAAAAAATGCAAGGGTTTCGATGAAGAAAACCGCTCTTTCAAAAGAGGTCGATGGGAAAAAATGTTGGGAATCCCTGATCTAAATCGTACAAAAGATACTTGATTTTCTCCGCAAATTTTAGGCTTCGCGTTTTTAAATTTCCTATGCAGTTACTTATTTTCTCAATGCCTGTGGTATCTGCTAATAAAATGTAATATTTATTTTGGAAGTTCTGAAAATATTAGAAAAAATGGTATGAAAGTTACGTTTATATATTGATCACATGTATTGAGAACAAACAGACAGTATCAGATCAGATTGTGGCTCAACAAAATTGGGAGTAAAAATAATTGTGCGATTCCTAATATTATATGTAGATATCAGACAGAATTTGTCTTAATTAAAATGCGTTAATTGCCTTTGCATGATTAGATATCTTTATTTGTCCGTTTAAACTGGTGAATTTAAATCTATCGGTATGATTTGCTCCTTAAGCAATTTGAAACTTAAATTACACTTTGTTTTACGCAAAAATTTTATCAACACATTGATTTATGTATTGAGTAAATTATTATAGCATCAGTTTGAAAATCAGTTAAGTATGTATCTTATTTGACTATTAATCCTTTTCATGGGAAAAAAATCAAAGATTCCTTTATTTCTTAGGTTGGCTGTACGATGGACTGGGATCTTATGATCCAGGTTTCTACGTGTCAGGCTCCATGATCGCTGCCAGTGGTCTTATTCTCTTCCTGGTGCCTTGCATCTCTAAACCGCCCAGCGACCATTTTCCCAATCCTGAGGATCCTAAACCCAAAATAGCTGAAACCTCGGCTTGAATCATAGTCTATCGCATTGGAGCCATCAGTCATCCATATCCTGAAGTAAAACTGATTGCTTTTGGGACCATGCACGCCTTTTCTGTTTTCTGGTTAATGCTACTGTTACCAAATGTGAAATTCGTGCAACGATAGGAATAATATACAGTTAGGATGGATTTCTGCGTCAGTTGAAATAGTAATATACTTATCAAAGCAATCTTTTCAATTTTAATTTCTTCACAATTGATAACGCGCAAAATTTATTTGCCTCTTCCTAGAAGTATATACGTAATGCTTGGTAAGATCTAAATGCCATTGTTAAAAACACAGAACATATGCAATTATATAAATGCATCGAGTAATTAATTGTTTGTTGCATGGACTCTTCAAAATAATACTCACTAACGCGACGTTAAGACTCATATCATCCAAACGGCTCTGACTTCCATCAGCAATTCCAGTTAATTGCGATTTTTCTTTAAAATTAGATTCAGATTTGTGAAATATTTTCACACACCTTTCCATATTACTCACATCATTTCACTGTACACGCTTCTGAGCCTCTGTACATACCTGTTGACACACATTTCTTTACAGTCAAAAACTCTTTGTTACAAATTTATATCCTGTATTCTTCAAAACATAGAATAAAATTACGTCTGCCATGCAGGCAGAATTATTTTACTTGATGCTACAGCGACAACACATTTAGAGAAAACATTTTCAGCCAAATGACAAATAGGTTTTAATTTCTGAAGAAAATCCGCATAAATATTTTTAGAATAAAAAGATTAATGTAAGCACGCTATGTTTAAACATTGCAAAATGAAAACTTCAACCAGTTATATATATTATTAAGTTATTTTGCAGAATTAGATATTTCTGTAATGCATTATTTTCTATACAACGAGATTAAACTCACATATGTTGCTAATCTTTTTCCAGTATCGAATCAGTGGTAGTCCTTCTTCTGTTACAGAATTCTTAGAGAATAGTCAATAGAAGGAATCTAAATAATGCTCTTTAGTATCCTTAAAATAAAAAATTTTGGGGGTGGACACTGCTTTCATGGAGGTTAATAAATTCTCTTTCACTATTTTGATACCAATTCATCCTAAACATCTATATTTTTTTATTATTTTGGGATTCAGAGTGACATCTGCTAAGCAAAGCAGAAGATTCACCGGCTCTTTCATAAACGGCAGTAACAAAACCTCCACAATAATAACTACGATATCTAGTTCTTTATTCATTTCTATTGTATAATAGTATTTTGTTATTAGCCTCTGCTGTCACTTACAGATTTCATAATCTTTCTCAATCTTATTTATGAATATGGTAACGAAATATACTTAATAAAAGTTGATTAAATTGAATAAAATGAAAAATAAAAACTTTCTTTCTCAATTTATAGTAGTGTAATAGATAATGAGATTTTGGATGAATACTACAAGTTATTATTCTTGAAACTGCAGACAAATTTTCTACCTCTTTTGTAAATATTGATATTTCGTACATAATTGTAATAAATCTGAGGAAAACTTTTGTACATAAATTAGTCAACATTCATTAGTATATAATAATAATATTTCATTTTACTTAGCATATGATATTATTCTGCCGTTATAACTAGATGATAATGGATTTTGCATGATATTTCATCAGTAGCCTTACCTGGTAAACTAACCTTGATAAGGCAGTTGTGCCAAATAACTAGAAATTTCTCCCGAACAGCAATTCAGGTTTTGCTGCAGGATACTACTATTATGTTTGTAGAGGTACCGTGAGGGTATCATCCATTTAGACCAATGTTTAAATCGTGATATTTTATATACTACGTATATACTGTGTTAAGTGTGCATGTATGTGTGTTGGCATCATGGGCTATTAAGTTTTTTTTTCAAAACAAACATCAATATCGATCTCTTTGAAACTTTGATTTTGTGTTGTTGATAAAAAAAATCCTACTCATGAGTTTGAGTGAATGGTGAGAGCTTCGTTTATCTTTAAGAGTTATTGTCACTGATAATAGGAATTATGTTTAGATATTATCTTGCAGAAGGCAGCAGGAATTTTGTAATTGTCTTGCATTATGTATATTTAACTATTTTTATTTCTTCATTTGATCTTCCAAAATAAAGAAGGGAAGTGAATGTTATATTTTAATGGTAGTTTAATATAAACAGATCCTACAGCATCAATGCGATTAATCATATCGTTATGCTGAGTTTTTATACACGGCACAGATTTTATGTATATTATACTTCTAATTATATTGAGGGTTCTTACGTAAATCCTTATGCATCCAATTTAACCGTTTCCAGTATTCCAGAGTTGTAAAACGGGATCTACTGGTAGCAGAGTGGTTAAGCACTAGTATTTAAAAAAGCGTGCAACACTTCTGTCGACCAAATATATTTTAAAAACAAAACAAAATAAGCAGAAATTTGAGTTACAAGTTGTATTAAATTTTCTATTTAGCACGGTCTTGGGTTTGCACATAGTACAATGACGATGAAAAACGATGTAAACTAAGAGGCGAGGAGTATTTAATTCTCTCAATTGGTATTAGAATATTTCTGAAGGAAATAGAGAGAAATATTTCATTTTCATAAACACAAGATTTTCTGATAGTTTTAATGGCAAATTATATATATGCAATATCCTGACTCTACAGGAGAACCATTTTAACGAAGCTGTTTCATCGTTTTCCATCGTATATGATGGTAACAGACGAAAAAGCAAATTGGGATATGATTATATTCTGCAAACCATTATAGACAGAGAAGAAAGAATTTATCGCCATGTAATATTTAGGCAGCATTTTATGCTTACTGCTAATAAAAATGTTAAATAAATAAAAATTATCCAATTATTTCTTTTTCCTCTCTTCATTTCAGTCATTTTTAAAAGTTTCTAAAAATATAAAATCTCTAATATATCAGTATTTTGGAGACATTTGCATCGTTATTGCCTTTCTTTTATCTTATGCGTTTTCCGATTATGTGGACATCGTAAATACTCCCATCTAAAATAGAGAGTTCTGTTAAAGTTTGTAACTGAATACGTTTCAGTTTCTGACTTGGTTCACGAAACATAAATTCTAGCTCTGTCAGTTAATCGCTAGAAGCGCTAAAGACGTTTTAGACCAGTAGAACATTCTTTCTTTCTTGTTAGGAAATGTACATTTGCAACTTTAAACTATTTCAGTGGGAACTTAGAATGATGCATAAGAACTTAATATAGAACCCTATCTTTATTTCTTTCTTTATGTCTATATATATATATATATATATGTATATACTCAAACACACGCACACACATGTTTGTTTAATCGCTCTAATAGCATCCGTGAATATTTATAGAAAAAAAAATTGGAAGTAATGAATTAAAAGCCATCCTTTATAACTGCAGGCAGCAAGCAGATTTGAGACTTCCATGAATATGAATTCTTTGTAAATTTTATAACGATTATGAATGTATTTTATATTATTGATTATGCAGATTGTTTTATATTGATTATGAAAATTGTTTTAATTTCAAATTTGTATAATAAATGGTTATGAAGAGTATTTTAATTATTTTCTCGTTATTTATTGTATTAGATAATACGATGTTTTCAATAGCATGAGTACATACAGAAGAATTTTAAAATTCGCAAAATGTAGATTATATGGTCTCCATAATATTTCTGTGGTGTACTTAAGACATATCAGTGCTTCATAATAAATGTATGGCTAGATGCTGGACGATATTTTGTAAAACAATCGGAGAGAATTCGAAAATCGGGATCTCAGTTTACTTTGTATAAATTTTCAAAGCAATTTTGTAGATATATAAGTGAAGTGCTGTCTTGCATTTCCCGTCTAAGAATTTTTCTTCAAATCTGCATGAATTACTAAGTCCTGTTCTCAGTGATAGTAACTACTCTGCATTTTTCCGAGCACAATATTCAGTATATTTTTTGTTTATTCACTTGTGTTGATATCCAGCGTGTAGCTAAGGGAAAGCATAACCATGCTTACTTATCATTTTGTGTTCATCAAATATTTTCCATGTCTGATATGTGTGTAAGTAATCTATACTCTTTCTGACTTTTTCACATGAAATAGATATTGAACAAACGCAAAACCACAGCTGCTGATCTTTAAAAAACGAATGAGTTAAAATTTAAGCACTCTTGTGTAACTGATTTAACTTTCTTCGTACATTTCAGATAGTAATATCTCTTTAAAGAGTACTTTTCAGATAGATCTAAAATTTAGATCTAATTTTTATAAATAAGCAAGCTTGGTGCACGAAATTTTATAAAATTTTATAAATTTGGCACTATTTCAAGAATTGTTAATTCTTATTTGAACGAATTACAAATTCTTGATTCTTCTTTGCAGCAGCGATGTTTCGCGTTTCCATAAAAATGATATTTTGATATATTATCTATTGTTCATTACAAAACTTATAATTTGAAGATGAATGCAGTGTGTCGAAAAATATCTTCAGTGAAGGTATTTTATGACTATATTGTATTTATTTATTATGTGGTGCCCATTAAAATATCATTACACAAGCAAATTATTGTTGATCTTTTGTCGTACTCAGAGATCCACGCAAGTTCAGTTTTTAGGAGTCTTTTGCATTTATCTGGTAGTTATAAGGCGAATATCATTCTCCGCCTCACAAAACAAAATATTTAGCTTGCCAGCCCTTTATTAATAATTGCGTAAAATTTAACTGTTTGTGCGTTTCACGGAATCATTATATTAATAACAAATTTATCGCGATATAATTAATACTAGCAAACAATGACTAGCAGTATATACTGCATACACACACACACACACATATATATATATATGATAAAAAATATGTAAATCAAAATTATAATTTAAATTAGCAATAGTCATTAATTCCCCCTCTCTATTCTAAAAATCGCAATAAAGTTTCTGAACTGCATCATTTCTAAATCGCCATTTCGCATCTCTTGCGTAACGCTGATTACTTAGCTGATTCGGAATCTAAACTCAAAATATTGAGAATTGAAACTTTTCTAAACTAAACCAACACCTTTTCTTGATGAGCTTCCGTACAGGATAATTGCGCACTTTAGCTCGCAAGACGCTACTTCGATCACTGGCATGTCGCTTAACCTTTCCTAGCTATTGCTCATGATTCTAAAAATATAATCTCTACAAAACTGTGGTGTGTATAGTGCACCTACAATGATGATGTGCAGAGAAAACGAATATGTGTTCTGAGAATTAGTTATCAAGGAATAAAAGTATGGGTGGAATTTAAACACAGAGAACCATCGCCAATCCGTTGCAGCTTTCTCCAAATATTTAATTCAAGAGCTTTACATATACAATCATACTCTACACTTTACACTTTAATCACAATCTACACTTTAAGAGCAGGTTTTGCTTTTAATAAAACAACGAATTTATTCTAGTTTAATATGTATAAAATATATTTCGTTATATTGAGAGGCTAACAATTGAGTACAACTATAATTCAAGTTTATACCTATCGTTTTTGAGTGCAATCCTGTTCTGTAGGTTTCTAAACGTTTACTGAACTGCTTACTGAATTTTTGTTACCAGTGATAACAAAATAAATCCATGCGTAAAACCTAATCGAAAATTTACAAAATCTTATTCAAGTTTACATTAACTAAACTACGTCCTCTGATGACCATTCTTTGATATAACGTAGAAAGTCATTGAAACGTCATTGAAAAGATAACAATTTCGTAAAGTCTTTCACTATGTTCTGTAAAAGTTTCCTTTCGCTGACTAACCAGAAGCAATGAACTATAGCATCTTTTCTGCGAATTTGAAAGTCAAAGCTAGATAATGTACAATGTCTGCGTATGCCCTTTAAAACTCAATATGCAATGCCGTTTACCTAAAATTTTGCTGAATGAACTTAAAAAATAACGTCTATAGTATTCAAAAGAGAGGAAATGAAACATTCCTTTGTCCACAGAGAAACATTTAGCTAGAAAACGAAGAAATGCTTATTCTGCTGACCCTAGAATAAAAATAGTGTCCATTCTATTAAAGAGCGAATAAAAGCAAACCTGGGACGGATCTTTTGTTATTTTAACAAATGCTTAACATAAGAATAAATCTTCAAGAGAATGAAATCTTTTTCCTCATTTTTCTCTAACAGAAAGAATAATTACAAAAATGCATATCTATTGAAATTACACTCATGTCCATAAATTAAGGATAATTCGCAGTCACGCAGAAATCGAACTCTAAATAAATATATCACCTGTAAAATCACTACACACATCTTCAAGAATCATACGCAAATTTCAGGAAGTAACCACCGATGGTACGTCACAATGACGAGAGTGTAAGAGAGTGATATATAAGGAATACAGGAAAAGACGTAAAATTGTTCGCAAGCGCTTTATAAGTATTTCAGTGCAATAACCGAATAGTTATGACACAAAGGACGCATTTGGATGATTTTTTACGTGGTAGAATTATCGGCCGTCTGAAATGTGGGCGTACCCAACTGGAAGTTTCAGACGAACTTGGAATTGCCCAGAGTGTCATCTCCAGGCTTTGGCAACGATTCCAAGATAATGGTAATGTGAGTAGACGTTACACCACAGGTCGCCCTAGAGTTACAACGCCGAATGAGGACCGGTATTTGGCAGTTGCTGCCAAAAGAAACAGGCGGAGCACAGCCTCAGACCTGTCTCGTCAGCTCTCTTCAGCCACTGGTACGACAATTTCAAGGCCGACCGTGTACAGACGCTTAGGGCAGATTGGTCTATATGCTCGTAGACCTGTCAGATGCGTTCCACTTAGTACTGCAACTCACTGTCGCCTGCGGTTAGCCTGGAGTAGAGAGCATGCATTGTGGACACCGCAACAGTGGGGTTGTGTGATGTTTTCCGGTCCAGGTTTAACTTGCAGTCTGAATTCTCGCCGGACTTTCATATAGAGAGCTCCAGGTACCCGTTACCACCAAGAAAACATCATTGAACGACACCGTTACGGTGGTGCAGGAGTTCTCGTTTGGGGTGGAATTATTCTGGGTTCCAGAACTGACCTGTATGTTCAAATTGGAACCATGACAAGCCAAATCTATCAGGACGTCATTCTGGAACAACATGTACGTTTGTTTCGGGGCGGCATGGGCGCACAATTTGTGTTTGTGGATCACAACGCCCGTCCTCACCGTGCAAACATCGTAAGCGAATGCCTTCAATCGGAGGATATCACCCGTATGGACTGGCCAGCATTCTCACCGGACTTGAATCCAGTGGAGCACGTGTGGAACATGCTTGACCGACCAGTTGCAGCCCGTCAACCTCCTCCTACATGTCTACCGGAACTTCGGAGAGCATTGCCTTTTGAGTGGTGTAATATCCCCCAAGATCAGATCGGTAATTTGATACTCAGCATGCCTAGGCGTTGTACGGACTGTATTGCATCGTCTGGAAGACATACAATATATTAACAATCATACCAACCATGCAATATTGTTTTTTTTTTTTTTTTTTTTTTTTTTTTTTTTTTTTTTTTTTTTTGTAATTTGCTCCAGGGAGAAAAAATCGCTAATTTTTTAATAATATCAAACATATAGCATCTTTTTTTGCTCTTTACCTTTTGTTTAATAAATAAGCTTTACAAATAAGTGAAATTTGTTTTGCTTCTAACTCTTCCTTTGCCGGATTTTGCATTATCCTTAATTTATGGACATGAGTGTAGTTTTGTGGTAAAATATAACTCAACGCTTTAGCGCAAATGTATACAACGAGAGTCATTGAAAATGATGCTATTTCAGTGGTGCTGTTGATTTCATAAATTAAAGCAGCTATAAACTCTGTACATTTCACTGTGTTATCATGCAGTTAAAAGTTCTATGTGTATTGTGGTTAGCCAAAATAAAAACTCCTATAATATGCAAATAAAATATTGCAGGGAATACGTAGAGACAGCTCCAAATGCTTTTGTAGTTTATTCTTGTAATGTAGAAACCGGAAAGAGTTAAAAAAAACGTGTATGATAATCTAAATTTCAGAAATTTGACATTCTTCCTTCTACTAAAGCAGCGATGTTTAGATAAGATGTTAAGCAGCAATGTTAAAACACTAAAGCAGCGTTGTTGAAAGTACTCTAAACATTTCTGCTTTTGAGTTACAAATTTTGCAACACAAATATACTGAAATGATCTTACTTTTCCCACAAATGGCATTCCAGTGTACTATTCCAATTCTGATTATTAATCTGGACAATAAATAATGCCTTTCTCAGACAACATATGTTATTTAAATAACGAATTAAATAATATTTTCTTTTCGTTAAATGTGGAAAAATTTCATTATTAAAAATTCATAGAAAAATTGGGACTGTAAAATTTTTTTATTTGGTTTCTCATACATAAAGCAGATATTTTTTGTTTAGGCAGGTGACATGCCATAGCATGGGGAGGCAAACAAACAGAAAGAGTTTATAGTAAACGGTAGTCCTGAAATCAGATTCATTGCGGTTTATAGAAATATCAATGAAGCCAAGGGTATTGTCAGATCAGTTTCAAAAGTGAACTTGATGGCTGGATCAGGTTTGATAAATCTTCTTTATTATCTTAGAAAAATTGTAGAGTCATTAGATTAATTGGAAGCAGGAGAGATAAAAATTGAGCAACCGCTTTGGCCGGGAATCGAACCGAGGACATTTGGTACACGCGCCCAGTGTGCAGACCACCACACCACGAAGGCATGCCAAGAAGGCGGGAGAAATACCTTATAAAAGCACGCAAGTGTCGCCTACATAGCGAATCCAGAGACGGAAAAATAGTTTCCCAAATAATTTGACATCAAAATATTGCACGTAAATGTCAGCAAGTACAGGGCTGAAAGGATTACCGATATTACTCATAGCTTTTATTTGGCGATAATATTCATTTTACAAAACAAAATTTGTTTGACTCAAAGAGACTTTAGTAAGAGAAATTAACTCTTCAGTTACAATATGCATGAAATGTAATTCTCAAAGCCTAGTTTCAAGAAATTTTAGGTCTCCTTCTACTGGAACATTAATAAACAGCGATGCAACATTAAAAGAAACCATAATGGAGAGCAGGAGAGAAATATCTTTAAGTTTATCGACGATGCTTTGCTAATGGGTGAGTGAAATATAACATGAGTTAAATGCTAATGTATAATTTATTCGTTATGAATGAGGTATAAAAAGAGAGAATTCAACGTTTTGACTATAATGCTAGGAATTCATGGTTGAAGCTGTTACAGAAATAAAATGCAATTACAAAAGGAGAATGGCTAATAAATTTCATCGGTGAAACGCGGTTTTTGTTTCTCTACTTGCATAGTGGTGCACCAACTTCTTCTCCAACATTTTCTAGACAAATTATATTTAAAAATTTTCTGAATTTTAAGAAAAATACTTTTTTGCTACATGTAGTTTTGGTCAAAATAAATAATTATACTTGTGTGTATAAAATATACAGTCAGTTCTAATTTACATGTTTTTCACACAATTTCCAAAAACAAATGTTGAAGAAAACCCAAAATAAACAACATAAATAAAATT